TGGCAATAAGTTTGATGATATTTATTATATACAAGCATAAAAGCCGCCCGATCGGACGGCATTTAAGTTTGATCCTGCGGAGGTCTCTTGATTGGGCTTTCCTCACAAGACGTGGGGAGAAGATGCGATTGTCAACAAGAAACTTCAGAACTCAAAATTGATCGCTGCATTTAAGTATTGCATTAATATTTAGCTTACCTTTTTCAACGATAATTCTTCTGACGCCATTTAATGTAAAGGCAACCTGATGTACGGAGGTCCTTACTTTCCTTACAAACAATTATTTTTATTTCATGGCTGACGTTCGCTTGATTTCGCAATTAATTTCGATTATTCCAAACTTTATTTCTAAGCTTCAACACATGTTATCATACAAAAAATAATTGTCGCAAAAAACAATCACGGTAATAAAAACTTGGGAATTCAAAATTCTAGAATTGCGGGTCTGCATCCGGTCCGGTATGTTTCTAATTTGCTGAAAGAATCGACCCGATTCCAAAATGGTATGATATGTTAGGCTACGGTCTCTTGGCGTATAGTTAAAAACAGTGACACAGTGACACACTGATATTCGTATTTGGTATATAGATTAGCCTTTTGACTAAACTTAAGCACGAAGAGAAAGATTTTAAATTTCGTATTTTCGTACCGGCCTGTGTCCTTTTTCAACGAGACGATGGATAAAGAAAGAACAGGGGTTTCCTCTTCCGAGTAGCTGTTGGTTAGAGGCTATATGGTGATGCACTCTCACGTCGTTTTCGACGTATAAGTGTCTTTCAGTTCAGTTTTTAATCCTGAATATGTCCCCGTCGCTTTAACTCTCCCGTCAGTGGACTTATTGTTCAGGTAGAATAGCAAAGAAGGAACATAGAACTGAACTGCAGACTATCCACACAAAAGATTTGTTTAGAATGGAGAAGGCTTGTGTAGAATAAGTCACACTTACTAGAAGTGCTGATAACAAGGAGTTGGTGCAGATATTTGCCACGAACCCAATGAACAACACCACTCAATTTTTATTATCACGAAATTATACCTCTCAGGTACTACCAGTGCACAGGAGAGTGTAGCGCCCTTCGATGGTAAATTCACGTGATATAGCCCGCCTCCTGAAACGGTTTACAGAATTTGGTGGGTGATGATTTAGGGGATGCGTGAAGACCAATGTTGTCCGTCCATGTTAATAATAAGAGCAGCCGAGTAACAAAGGTACTACTTCTAACCATTGCCACCTACACGCATAGAACATACACTGGATATCGTAGTAAATAGTTCGTAATCAATGTGCAATATATTGCTACAAAGTATAAATTATTATAAAGTATGAAAGAAAATTTTATTATTGTTATTATTATTATTATTATTTTACAACATTTAGTATGAATTTTAATTCTTTACATTTTCTTATGTATTAATTGCAAAGGAAATATCAATTTTATTTAAAACGCGTTCCCATTTATGACGTTATTTTGTTTCGTTTTTACTACTTGAGTCTATATATATATATATATATATATATATATATATATATATATATATATATAGATATATATATTTAATAAAAACAATACTTTATGGTTCCATGTAATAAATTATTTCACCACAGCCCTTTTAAATGACTGCGGATCATCAGACTTTACTTCCAAAGGTTGAAACGAAAAATGAAAAGAAATTTACACATTTTTGACGGTCCGTATTAAGCATATGATAAATTAACGAAGTGAGGAAGTGAGGTGGAGGAGAGAGAAGACATGACTGAATTAGATGTAATTTAATATGTCTATTCTTTCATACTTAAAATTACTTGTGGAGGCCCAAACATTTTCACATTTAAACGTTTAACCGAAATTATATATTGATATAGAAGGGGTAGAGAAGAAAAAAGACATAAAAAGACAAAGACAGAAGGAAGTCATGAGAGAAGGTGTGACTAATATACATTGAAAGTGTTATTTGGGGGGTTCATAAAGGTTATAATGTTTGATATAAATTTGAAAGTCTGAACTGTCTACAAAGAATTTAATTTGATGTTTGTTAGTGATTTAAATTTTTCTAAAAATTTTGGGGATTTTCTAAGAAATAGTTGATTAGAAAAAATATTCATACAAAGTACATTAAAAGAATAAAAATTTATTTTAAAATATAAGTTTTCTTTTAGTAATCTTTTTTATTTTGATGTTTTTTTTTTTAGTATTGATTATTAAGATGACATCTCTATCCGTTTGTATTTTGTTCACAATTTAACTCGTTACTATTTTTAGCTGGGTAATTCCTTTTACATTGACTAATATATATATATATATATATATATATATATATATATATATATATATATATATATATGGTAACGGCAATATATATATATATATATATATATATATATATATATATATATAGTGAAAATCAAATAACTAGATATTAGCAACTGTATATACGTAAATATATATTAATAGATATACATATAACTACGTTCGAAATGTAAGCTAAGTTTACTTGTTCTACCAACTCATCAAGCACAATTATTACTTATGATTTAATATATATATATATATATATATATATATATATATATATATATATATATATATATATATATATATATATACTTGGTCTCATGGGAGGAACGCTAAATTACACGCAGATTCACAGCTTAAATTTAAAAAATTTAATACAGAAAATAGGGAGAAGATAGGGCCATTCTAAAAGAAAAACCTAGGTATATATATATAATAATGTATGTATATATATATATATATATATATATATATATATATATATATATATATATATATATGCTTGCTTCATTAAAAATGAGCTTTTATTTAATTTTTCTTGTCTTCGAAAAAGTGTTATCTTTTTTGAAACGAAGTGTGTAGACATTGTCCAAATGTTCTATAATTCCAAGCGCTTTCGTCTATACTTTTAGCCATTATATATACCATTTCATGCTCTCCTCTGGCACTTTTTATATCTGCATTAATTATGTTTATATCTTTCTTTGAACCTGGTAAAATATTTGTTCAATCATTTATAGATAGTGCTGAATCATTTGTCACCTTCTGTAGAAAATGAAGAGAATCAAGCCAATTAAAATTGTTTTTTTACAGACAAATGCTGAGAATAGAATGAGCGAAAAATAAGAGGACCCTGGTTCCAGAGATATGAACAGACTGAGATAGATAGATAGATAGATAGATAGATAGATAGATAGATAGATCCTTGCGGAAATTAATTGAAACAAGCGCTTTAGTTTCTTTTCTTTCACGATAAGGTTAGTTTTCGACCTACAGGTGTGACACGGTGTAATCGATTTCTATTTTTCCTCACATTAGGTCATTTGCAGTAATATCAATCTATTTTCAGGGTGTATGATGAAATTTTTTTGGCTTTGAAAAATATTGCTTCATCTACGATTGCATCATTGTCATCACGCCTAGACTCTGTTGTCTCGACTGTCGATAGATAGATAGATAGATAGATAGATAGATAGATAGATAGATAGGAACTGGCCGAGATAGATAGATAGATAGATAGATAGATAGATAGATAGATAGATAGATAGATAGATAGATAATGAACATTGATAGCTAGACAGTGACAGATTTCGAAGTGTTTCCATTTCTTGAGTGAAGAATGATATCACTATATCTTTTTCTTATTAGGATGGACTCATAAGAGTCCAGATACTAATTATATATATCAGTATTTCTTTTTCTCATTTTCTCCTTAGTTTCTCTTAGCACATTGACTGAGAAACACAGAGAGAGAGAGAGAGAGAGAGAGAGAGAGAGAGAAACAGTGTGTGTGTGTGTGTGTGTGTTTGTGTGTCAAACAATGAGATAGATAATACGGAAATAAACTATGAGCATTTCTCCGATGTCATAGCTTGCTATATATTTTTTTTTCAATTGTATCTTTCCAGATCTGATTTCCGAACGCTTTTCTTTGTCTGCAGTCGAGGTTTATGTGTTTGTGTTTGTCTCCTCGTTTTTATGTTCATCTATAATTTTCCTTTTAGCCGAATGTTATTTATTGACTTTGCTACCCAGTCATTCAATTCTTCAATATCTTCCACAACACTTAATCTATTGCTACTCATTTTCCGTGCAGCTATTTATCGCTTTGAATTTTTCAACGGGTCGGTGACAGACAGGAAGAATAATACTTCATCTCAGCGATTGTGTTGTAAAACCCCTTTTGATTGGTAAAATAAATCACACATTCAAGATACGGGCTTCTTCGTTCAATTCAAAATGGTTATTCATGTAAAATCTAAAAAGGAAAACATTTTCCTAAAATTAATTCTGTGCCTACTCACACATTTAATATATTCATAATAGTAATTCTAGTTTGCTTGCTTTATTCACAAGATTAGTCTGTGAGACTCTCCAGTCGTAATGCTTATCGGCGCCTGCACTTTACAACATGTAAATAGAAAAGAAAATACTTATATAATCAATCAATTTACTTTCCATACTACCAAAAACAGGATCTTTGATAGGAAACACCTATCTATACCAGAGAGAGGTGTAGAATTTACTAGACATTGGAAGTCAATCTTTTTAATATATTTTAATAAAAAGAGTTCATACTTTTCAAACGATGCTAATAATGAATGTCTAATAAATGAATAGCAAATGTCTTCATTTTGCCGTTACTCTTACAAGACCGGAATCAGCGAGTCATCATCAGTTTCACTTTAATATCCCTGTAAAAGGTATGAATCCATTCTTTTTCTACCCAACCAATGACGATGCGTTGACTAGCAACGAAGAAGAGGTTATATAGTCTAAGTTCGCTGCCACTCTAGATGAAAGCTTACTTTCATTACAAAACTGTCAAGAACTCAAGGGGAAACAACTCTAGCAGATTTTATATAACCTATCCTTTGAAAACAATGAGAATAACTGGATGTGGATATATTGGGTTCTATTGTGCAACATAAACCTACATTTATAAATAAATCCAAATAGTAAATGCTATATTAATATATTTGTTTC